CCTCTGACTAATACAACCGTCAGAAATAGTATCAGTACTACCAAGACTTGGCTGCATTGCTAGTTAGTAGTGGAAGAAATAGCATTGGCTGTATCAGACTCGTCTTCCTTGAACCTGTCTTGACAGCTACTGAAGGTGAGTGAGGGTAGGTAGTGCGGTAGTACCCGCGCGAAGTCTACTATCACTTAGGACTAAGTGTGGACGAAAGCAGGTGGACAGACAGTATTGCCGGCAATGGCTTTAATCGCCGTTTCTGGCTTATTAGCCATCATCAGCCAGTCATAGCCAGCCCCAAGTGGTGCACCACCCAAGACTCGAACTCGAGAACTCTTCGATCAGAGTCTGACGCTCTAACCATTGAGCCACGAGCTGGTTGTCTTGCCAATTTAGGTTGGAAGGGGTAGCTATTCTGAGATCTTGTGATCCACAAACCCCTCACCACGGTCAGGACGTTTTAATTTGTACTTGTTGGAAGGAGTAAGAAAGTAGTACGGGATTTCTCCCTCCTCTTCCTCCGAGGAAGAGGGTATTCTGAAACAAGAACCAAAAAAATTGGTCACAGAGAAGATGCACTCACCTCGATAGCGATTGAAGAGCTGTTCAATATTTGACTCACTGACGCCCGAGTTTGCCGAGCTATTCTGCCTGTAGTAGTAGTCAATTGACTGTTCAATCTTCCAATTATTCTGCTGCAGACATTGGATGGCACATTTTTCGGAGCTTTGTGTGATACCCTGAAACTTTTTGACGCGATCGCGCTGCGAAGAGGAGAGCTTAAACTGGGTGCGCGGGACGAGGGGCAAGAAAAGAAAGATGTTTGGTTAGTACGGAAAGATGGGATGCGGGCAGTGAAATACACAGTGCAGAGGGATGGGGGTGGTATTGATGACACTGCGTTGACGCAGGATTCATTCCTGCAGGTGAATGTGTAGGACCATAAGCCCTATGAAGATGCCAAACAGATTGTGGCATAGTGAGGAATGGAAAAGTAAGCGACATGCAGAAACTTACCTCTGCCACATATCATCTTCTATCCGACTCCGGTCAGTGACAACAAACACTAATGCAACGCATGTTCTGTGATCACTGCGTTGGCCTTCAGCAATCGATATCTACTCACTTAGTTGTACTTGTTACGGCTGTGTTCATGCCTGATCTAGCCAACCTCAATGATGTCACGGGTGGTACCCCTCCATGCGTGACGATTGGTGGCAACGGATCTAGAGCTAGACCAACATCCCAATACAGGAAAACAAAGCCGGCTGTAGTGACAACCAAGGTGTAACAACACCGGATAATAGCCATAGTGAAGACGGCGCCCATAAGCATAACCTGGAGATGTTGATAAAAAAACAACAACAATGCATTCATTCACAC